TAGCAGTACTATCGCAGCTTTATCAAAAAATATGTTACCACAGAACACTCACAGCAAAAAATCACTCCACGGTCCATCAGACAACCCTCTACCTTAGATTCCTGATGACTCTCAATTTCTAATAATTTCAGTTCAGTGGCCTGAGTCCAAGGATTGTTTTCATTTATTTTCATCAGTTTCCTAAATTTGCTTCTCTACATCACACCCGTGAGTGCTATTGTCTGATACTTATCTTGTCCTTATTTTCTTTTGACTTATTTTACATAACCACCTCCAATTTCATGGTATTATACAAAGAAAGAATTTATAATTTCTTCTGTTTGTAATGAAATTCCTGTGTGTGTGAGACAATATTTTTCATACTCACTCAATCTGTTGGGTTGTTTCTATATATGTTGTTAACATGGATATATATATGTCCATATAGAGAGAGAGCAGTGGTTTAGAGGACAATGAGTAAAATGCCTAAATCATACGTTAGATCTATTTTAATAGTTATAAAAATTTTCCATGATGTTTGTGGTGACTAGACCAAATTACAAACTTACAAACAATACAAGGGGTTTCCTTTTTCTCCATCCTTGAACTCTCTTGCCTTTTAAATATAGGATATATTCATGACTTACATATGCTTATCACGTATGTCAAGCCATATTTCACTGTTTGTTTTTAACTGCATTTCCCTGATAATAAATTATTTCTAGCATTTTAATATGCTCGTTGGCCACTTGTATGTCCTCATTATGAAGTGTCTGTTAAAATCTTTTCTTATTTTTAATTATTCTTGATACTGTTTGAGTTTCGTGACTGTCTTATAAGTACTTAAAGTCATCCATTTTGTCAGACATATGGTATGCAAATATTTTCTCATATTCATTGGGATAACTGTTCATTTTGGGTTTGTTTGTTCTTATTATGGGGCCATACCTGGAGTTGCTCAGGGCTTAGTCCTGAATCTGCATTCAGGAATAACTCAGAAGGGGCTCAGGGGACCACATGGGGTGCCATGGACAAAACCTGGCTTGGTTGTGTGCAAAGGAAACACCCTACTCTCTATACTATCACTCAAGTCCAGGGGATCTATTTTAATTTTAATGATTATTTCACAATGAATGGGCTTTTTAATTCATATTACCACTATTTATTGAATTTTTCTTTGTCCTTCCTTTTTATCAGAATCAAATTGCACACAACTCTGTGTAACTATTAACTGACTCTCTTTTTTTAACTTTTATTTTTTCATTGTTTTCAGCACTCTGTACTCGGGGTTTATTCCTGGATTGCTGCTTGGGATTACTCCTGGCAGTACTGAGAGCAGTTAGAGGCCCTGGGATTCAACCCAGTTGGGCTTCAGGAAAGCCAAGGACCTAACTTGATGTATTGTCTCTCCTAGAATCTTACTCTCCTTTGAAATAATGACTCATCCATTTGTCTTCTTTCAGTTATTGGCTATAATATTGCCAGAAACTCTGAGTACTAATACAGATGACTGACTAAGGAAACTGCATATTAAGTAGTGACTAACACAGGTGCTCTAAAAAATACATTGTGAACAATTGACAGCTCTTTCTCTAATGGCAGTTCCAAACTTTAATTTCATGACCATCATCTTCAATAATCTGTATTTACTTTATCATTAAATTCAACAAGTGTAACCATAGGCAGTAGACATTAATAAGTTTGAGAGAGACAGGAGGTAATCAGGCAAAAGGGCGTTGTTTTTCCATTTATTTTTTAGGTATAAGTTTATTCACTCAGTCATTTATGCAGCAAGCCTATTTCTAAATTACTTACTTTATACTACGTGATCTACTAACTTTTGGTGATAAATATGTGAGCAAAACAGATTTTCTAGATTCATGAAGATTTCAGTCATATTTTTTTGTAGCAAGTAGACAGGTACATAAATATCCTTAGTTCAAGGAACTTAACAAATTTTAAGTAGAACTTTTACCTAATTTTGAAGGTATAAAAGAATAATTTTGGGAGCTTGAATTATGCTCTAAATTGTGAACTGAAGGAAAATAAAAGTTTTCAAGCCAAAAAGAAGTTATTTATTCATATAAGTGGAAATAACTGGTGCAAAATCCTGGAAAGAGATGAGAGACTGAAGGGCAAAAAAAAAAAAAAGTATAAGTCCTCATTAGGTTAAAGAGATTGGAACAAACTGGAAACGAGTAAAATTTTAGGCAGAAAAAAGCATAACGAATCTATGCTCCAGTTGGTGAAGTCCACCAGTTATTTGAAAGCTTAAGAGTAATGTTCACATAAGTGGTGTTTGTATTGCTTCATGCGTGTCCTAATAAACCTTGATCACTTGATCACTTCATACCCCGTTACTCATCGATTTGCTTGAGCGGGCACCAGTAACATCTCCATTCATCCCTGCTGCATGCTAGCATAGCTCAATGGCATCTGCTCATTCTAGGAATATAAAGAGCCTCAAGCCGATTGTTCAGGGTCTTGACGAAGAAGTCTGACGATCTCGCAGGTGGGCAGCCATGCAATCTTTTGACGTCCCGTGAAATCCAATTGGTAATGGCTCTAGTCCAGCGGTCATCTCTAAATCTCATTACATGTTCAGCCCGTCTGATTTTTGATGCTTTGGCAAACAAGAGAGCATCCCTGATTCTCAGCATTCACGGAGGTCAGAACTCTGGATTCTATCTCTCATTTGAGTGAAGCGTGATACTCCAAGCATAGCTCTTTTGATTTCTCTTTGAGAGACCCAAATAGCGTTCTCATCCTGTTTTCATAGGGCCCAGGTCTCTGAGACGTATGTTAATGCAGGAAGAACAGTGGAATCGAAGAGATATGCTCGGAGCTGGAGGTTCTTAGTCCTCTTAGCTATTTCTTCGATGCTCTTGAAGGCGTTCCAAGCCACTCTCTTCCTCCTGCTCAACTCAAGTGTCAGGTCGTTCGTCATGTTGACTTCTCGACCTAGGTATATATAACTGTTGCATTTGAAGATGGTCATTCCATTGAGAGTGAATGGAACGTAAGGAGCAAGACTGTTTCTCATGAACATTGTCTTTATGAGACTCAGCTGTAATCTGACCTTTCCACACTCATGGTTGAAGTCGGTTAGCATTTGTGCTGCTTGGCTGAAGTTTGGTGTTATTAGAACGATGTCATCAGCAAAGCAGAGGTGGTGTAGTTGCCGAACATCTATCTTCATTCCCATTCCTTCCCATTCCAGTCATCGGATGACGTTCTCTAGGGTGGCATTGGAGAGTTTCTTAAAATTGTATCACCGTGCCAAACCCCTCTCTTGACATGGATGATCACTTTTTTGTAGAATGGTGAGATCCTGGTAGTGAATCCTCACGGAGGATCCTGATGTATTGAGATTGAACGCGCTGATTGGCTAGGGCTTCGATGATCACTTCCGTCTCAACAGAATCAAAGGCCTTCTTTAAATCAATGAATGTTAGACAGAGCAGCATCTTGAACTCCCGAGAAACCTCAATCAGCTTGGATACCGTGTGGATATGGTCAACGGTGTTGAATCCTTTTCAGAACCCTACTTGCTCTCATGGTTGTCCTTCATCTAGTGTACTGCCAATCCTATTCAGGATGACTCAAGTGAACAGCTTGTAGCGACAGACAATAGGCAGATTGGGTAATAGTTGCCAATGTCGTGGATGTCTCCCTTCTTGTATAGTGGTACAATCCTGCTGGTTTTCCATTGGGACGGAACCCTGCATTCAGACAGGTACCGTGTGAAGAGCCGAACCAGTGTATTGATGAATACGGATGGTAGGTTCTTTAGATGTTCACGTCTGACCTTGTCTGAGCCAGGTGCTCTTTGTTTCTTTACCGATGAGATGGAGTGTCAGATTTTGGAAGGGAGAATGTTGGGAACGACATATATATCCTGAGGAATTTTTTATGTGGGCAAGTGGACGTGGCTATTAAAGAAATCTGAGTAGAAGTCATGAATAATCTTCTCCATTACCCTTCTGGAAGGTGTGATAGATCCATCATTACATTGGAGGACAGTCGTCTTGGTCTTGTAGTTGGTGAAGGACAGGCTGGCGTTACGAATGCTTTTCCCGGCTTCCGCTGCATCTACCACAGCACTGCTGCTCTTCTCTCTTTGAAGTTTTCCTTGATTGCTTCTCCGCACTGTTTTGCGAGCTAGGACGTTTGCTTGCAGTTGCCTGAGGCATGCACCAAGCCGTGTTGGCAAATAAGCTCAAAAGTGTTAGAAGACAGGCTTTTTTTAAATAATCCTTATAAACCTCATTCTAGTTTATCTCTATTTCTGACCCTTAGCAGGAGTTGCATGGCAATAAGTATTGCTTAAATAGTCTTCCTTCCAGAAAAATCCACTCAGTGACTGTATATCATTTCTAATTCTGATCAACATTCATTAGACAACTCATTTCTTCCTTCTATTTCTGTTTTTTTTTTATTTTTCTTATTACTTGACTCATTAATCTGGAGAGCAGAAACTGTGTGGAATTTGTCTTGTGCCTCCCTATGTCACCAGTGAATAACAGGGAGTCAACAAATATTAGTTAAATTATGGGATACACAATAAAGTGATACCTAGAAATGTACACTTATCTGTAGACATTACTATATGTTTCTTAGTTTTCTTACATTATTTAAAATTATTGTGACTCTAGTATAGTCACCTTCAATACATTCATTTGGTTAATATTAAGTAATGTTTTCAATTATATAATTAGCAAAATATAGGAATGATTTGTGACATCATTTATGCCTTTGCCAGGGTGTGATTCTTTTAATTAGTGATTGTTTATATGTTAATTATATCAACAGTACAATAATCTCTTTCCTTGTTAAGGTGTCCATGGCTCCTCTTTCCCACATGCTCACTTTTGTTTCTAACTTAACAAAAGTGTTTTTCTCTGAAAAGAGTTTTTTTTTGCTATTCATAAGCTCATGCTGCCCTTGGCACTGACACATGATTTTAATACCCACTCCTATTTCACTAGCACCACTGATATCGCCCTTCTTACTTGTTACAGGCCAAAGATGTTGACCTTGGAGCAAATGTATCATATCGGATAAGAAGCCCAGAAGTGAAGCATTTATTTGAACTGCATCCATTTACTGGAGAACTCTCTCTTTTAAGGAGTTTGGACTATGAGTCATTTCCAGACCAGGAAGCAAGTATCACATTTCTAGTCGAGGCCTTTGATATATATGGAACAATGCCACCTGGTATTGCGACTGTCACAGTGATTGTAAAGGTAAGAGGTAGATCACTTCTGGCTGCCTACTCTATATTCTAGATTTGTTTTTAATATCGTACCTGCAATATTTGAGGTCACTATTTCATAATCTGTGTTATTATGCTAATGATTAGCATAATAACACAGTGATGCCAAATTCAGAAAATCAATTTTTGAATAAAAATTATCCATGAAGTTTTGATAATCAAAGTAGCATTTAACTACAAAAGATACATAACAAAAAAAACTCTACATAAAAATATTAATGTTGCCTGAGTCCCCATTAGCTTTGTGATGTTCTTAACTGTACTTTATTTAGCATACAATTCAGCAGATATTTAAGAGCTCTATGAAAAATATACTAATTCTAAATCTCCAATACAACTTTTGATCTGATCCTAGAAGATTAAGAATTCTAAGGCTTTAGAATCATTTGATTAAATTTGGAACCCACGATTCTGAAAGAAATCTAGGGAGAAGTAGAGGAATAAAGAAGCAAAAAGGCAAATGAGGGAATGTGAAGATAATAGAATATGAATAATGTAACTTAATCGATTTCTAAAGAATTTTACAGAAAATATCAGTATGTTCATGAACAACAATAAGTAAATCAGATTATGGATTAATAATTTATGTTTAGTTTATTGTGTAGCACTGTCCTACTGTTGTTCATCGATTTGCTTGAGCCGGCACCAGTAACATCTTCACTGTGAGACTTGTTACTGTTTTGGGCATATCAGATATGCCTCGGGGAGCTTGCCAGGCTCTGCCGTGTGGGTGGGATACTCTCGGTAGCTTGCTGGGCTCTGAGAGGGATGGAAGAATTGAACCCGGGTTGGCCGCGTGCAAGGCAAATGCCCTTCTCACTGTGCTGTCTCTCCAGCCCTTAGTTTAATATAGATATTTCAATTCATATTATATATACACAGATATAACTTTAACAACAGTTTATAATGATTTAGGTAGAAATTTTACCCAGTGGCCTTTGAGAGTAATTTTCCATATTGAGGACAGGAACAATAGTCCCTGAGGTAGGGTGCTTGCCTTGCACATGGCTGACCCACATTCAATCCCCAGCTCCACATATCGTCTCCCAACCCCCATCAGGACTGATCCCTGATTCCAGAGGTAGAAATAAGCCTTAAGCACACCCAGGTGTGGCCCAAAAAACAAAAATGAAATGAAAAATTAATTGCTATATTAAGAAAGGAATTTGTGAAATTATATAAAATATGAAGTATATGTAAAGTTTAAATCAATCTTCAGTTATAGATTCATGTGGTAAACTTGGAATTTAATATTTTACAACTATCATATACTTATTATATAGAAAACTATGTGTACTTTCTTAGTAACCATATTCTCCAGAGAATATAACTTATGGAGACCAGGATATTTGACTCATCAGATTTGTTAGGTTGTCTGATCCTAGAGATCCAACAGAAAATATTATGTATCTGTGCTTATTTATAGTTTTCTGTGATTTTCTTTTCAAGTTGTTTTTGTTCCCAGGAGTTCTTTTCTATTTTTTTCCAGTTTCTAGAATACAGGCTGTATTCTGGTTAAGCGGATTGGTTCAGCATAGAAGTTCCCAAAGATATTTGTCCTACTTGCCCTGTTAATGGGGAGTGAAGATGGGGACCACTTAGAAAACTAAGTACTAGTTAAAAATGTAAGCCCACTAGAAATTTACCTGGTTTAAGTGAATAAACAGAAAATGCCTTCCCAATGGCACTACTACTGACTCCCCTTGATTATTCCAGCACAGAACGCATATTTCGTCATGTTCCTGTTGGCTATTTATGGAATTTAGAATGGAAGAGTCATATTCATTCTAGAATAAGAAAAAAAGAAGTCCTAGTGGTGACTCTAATTTATTAAAGCTATTTTAGTAGAAAGGTTTACATTATTAGCATAAATGTACAGAAAATCATATATTGTACTATCCATTGAAAAATGTATTACAATTTCAGTTTTAATTGGCCACCACAGAGCATATTCAGTAAGAAATTGTCTGTTGAACTGGAAAGAGGGCATGAGGGTCCATTTATCACTTGTGTAGAAACTAGGTTTCATCTACTGAGCACAGACAGTATGGCTTTGGTGATTGCCAGCACTGTCGAAGCTAAATATCAGTGCATCTTCCAGCCCAAGTATTGAGAAAAAAAAGAATGAGTGATCAGTCATTTGTTACTGGAAGTGGCCCCTGGATCCCTGAGAATTTCTTGGGAGGTTAAAAAATCATCACTTTTCATGAGTTTCCAATTCATTGGCAAACAACTAAAATAATTATTTTCATATGCAATTATTGATAAGAAATCATTTATTACTGTAGACACTTAAGAGTGTTAAGGATTATTCAGTGCATTTTATTTGCATTTGATCTACAGTCATCTCCAAGTACACATATGATTTGTTTTTCTCCTCTGGGTCTACTGTAACCTCTACAGATGTCATTATCAGATGTGATACAACTCTCTGAAGAAGTTTGTTAAAGTCTGAATTTCTTATTTCTTTGATGTCCATATAACGTTGTCATTATTTCAATGTTGTGATTTTTCTATCTTAAGAAATTGATTTATTTTAAGATCAATAGCACATATTTGATGCAGTAAAAAATTTACTTAGCATTGAATCACACTTGTGAATAGCAGTTTGAAAAATCATAATCTTTTCTTGAGTGACCTGCTTTGTTATTGTATATCTTTTATGAAACAATAGTTTTCATTTCTCTAATACCCTTTCAAAAGGAGTAGGAGAAAAAAAAGAAGCAGGAGACAGATAAATCACCAAAGGATTGAGGTTCTTCAGTTCATATTCTTAAACGTTATTTTGATACCGTATGGTGATATGAGCTCTATAAACTAAAAATTACATTTGCAAGAACATATAATAGGATCAGAGAAAGTACAGGGAATAATATGCTGATTCCTTCGCCCCTCTCGGAGAGTCCGGCAAGCCACCAAGAGTATCTCGCCTGCACGGCAAAGCCTGGCAAGCTATCCGTGATATATTCAATATGCCAAACACAGTAACAACAAGTCTCACAGTGGAGACATTACTGGGCCCACTCGAGCAAATTGATGAACAATGGGGGGACAGTGACAATAGCAGTGACTGTACAAAGTGGCCCTAGTTAAATTCCTCACATGATATATTGTCCTATGGTCAAAGCCCAAGAGTGATCCCTGAACATAGACCTAGGAATAAACATTGAGCATTTCTAGGTGTATCACCAAGATAGACAAACAAATGAACAAAAACATCTAGGAACATATTGGTGATGATGAAGAGGGGATGATAAATAAATCAAAGAGATTGTGATTTAGGTAGATGAACTAACTATAACAAAAAGGCTTCTGGCAGTGATTAAAAGGTTGGCCACCATAGGCTGGACTACTCTTACTTTCCTGCATGATTTGATAGAATTGAAGAATATAATTTTAAAAAACAGAATACTTTTCCATTTATTGGATGTTTTGGACAATACAAAAGAAAGTAATTGTAAATAACTATCTTACCCCTATTTTCCTAGCTCCAAGAGCAGATGTTCTTCTGGTTTAGTGTTCTCTTGTACAATGGGTGTTGTTGATAAGTGAATTATAAACCCTCATCAACTCTACCTTTTGTTACTCTGAAATTTACATAGATTTATTTTCTTATAATTTTATGGGAATTACTAGAATCAAATTTGACCCAAAAGTATCATCTTAAAAAGCAAGATGTATAACAAAAAACCTCATTGTCCTTCTGATAATAAAGAAGTTTCTTAAAATGTGCCCTGACCACCCCATTACCTTAATCAAAGCTTTAACAGTAGTCAATGAGTAACAGAAGGCATTACTCATTGATGGGTTGACTCCATTATAAGTAGGAGAATATTGATCGAACTTTTGTTGATTATGTTGTATTATCTTAAAATACAACAAAGGTCAAGTTTTTTCTAATCTAAACCCATTTTTCTAGTCTTATTATAAATGTAAAATAAAAGTCAATCAAAATTTATATATATATGATGGCATACTTTTAAAAAGAATAATAATATATTTTTATAATAAAATTTATTAACCACTTTTCCAAATGCACTTGATTTCTTTGCTTTTGACCCCACATCATACAGTTGTCATATGGAGAACTTCATAAGTCTACTGTAAGTTACTGCAACCCATGAATATGAAAATATCATTCTTGATTTTTTTGGAGAAAAAAAGAAAGAAGTACAATTCTTACTTTTTTGCAGATGTATAGAACATTCCATGCTTGTTAATTTTCTGCTGTCTATTTACTTGAAGTACTGACAAGCTGTTTTGCTGATAACATAATTGCATGGTATTTGCTAAGAAATATTTCTACCCAAAACAGTCACCACAGGGAAAGCATCTTGAATATCTCTCTTTGAAAATGAGTGGAAACAAAAAAAATTACTTTTATAAAGAGAAAAAAAAGAAAACCCATGTGATTAATATCTAGTTTTTTACACTTACTTAATTGTAAAGAAAATAGGAAAATCAACGTAATATTTGGCAGAAAAATAGTAGAAAGAAAACGATTTTATTACTTATGTGTGCAAAGAGCTTAGTGTCAGATATCAAGAGGGATTCAAAACAAAACCAATTAAGATAATTTATTCAGTTTTTAAAACAAGTTTTCACACAAAATGTTGATAGGTCAAGGCATTTTTTTCAGTGTACATTTATTGAGTATCTAGAAGAACTGAATGTGTAATAATCAGATGGTATGTAATCAACTAGAAAATAAACATATAATTTTAAATAACAAAATCAATAAAATTCAGAGAAAACCTTTACATACTGACTTATGATGCACAATGTAGAAGAAACATATCATTATGTTTAATCTAACCTGATGGAATTGGGTAAGACTGCTAGAAGGAATCTCCTTAACTTGAGATCAGGATATCCACATATTCTTCCATAGCTCTTTGCAAAGTGTCCTGGCTCAGGAAAAGTTCCAAGAATTAAAAGAGGGAATTCCATTCTCTCTGTTACCATCCATAA